TTTTTTTGGCAAGAGAAATATATAATCAGTTTTATTTGCTGATTTTCAATAATTGTTCATGGTAATCATTATCACAGAGACCATCTACTTGAGTACAAATATAGATATAAAAGGTAGACTATCAAAAAATCGAATTTAATAAAATAATTTTAAGTATATAAAGAATTAAATTAAAAATTTGAATATCCAAAATATCTGTAAAAATAATAATAATTAACATGAAGTTTAAATAATTGAAGATTGATCAAAGCAATAAACAGATAAAATTAGATGAAATTTAATGAGATAAAAGAGAATAGTTCACACTAAATAATTAAAGCAATATATTTGAGATTGTAGTAGAAAATATATTATATTTTTAATTAAAGCAAAAATGGAAAAAATCATCTTGGGGCAAATTAAATGCTTATACCAAACTCTCAACTCCTAATTAGTTCACCAAAGAGAAGTGATATCTAATAAATCATAAAGAGCAGAATTTCACTTTATTAAACTTTAATTGGACCCATACTTCATCATTAATCTAAATCCTTATTTAAGTTGAGAAGTTTTCTAATTAAATTCTATAATAGCTTTAATTTAAATTCCAAATCAAAAACAAAGTAATGAGACTAATTAGAAATTTTTACAGAATCCTAATAATTATATAAAATAGTTCCAATTTATAGATATGTCCTCAAATAAAAATTGTTTTATCAGATAATAGAGAATTATTTTGTCTTAATGATGTCAAGATAAAGCTGATAAATTTATATGTCTTAGCTTCAATTAGATATTACTATTATTTATTTCTATATTTCCTTAATCGGAAGATCTAGTCTCACTTTCATATCAATTTCAAACAGCGCAAAGACTCATACTACCTCTATGGTAACTATTATTTAGCCCCTAACTTATGTACATTAAAATATTATGTCTTTGAAATAATTTAATTCAATCTGATATTTTATAATCCAAATCAACACATTTATTACTTATCCACTAATTTGCTTTCATGATTGAGGTTTCAAGAATCTAATTGACTACATTTTTTTCCTGATTTCTAGTTAATTCGATTTTACATGCATTATCTATTCTTCAAATATAATACCAAGTCTTAAATTTAATATCAGATTGAATATATACACTGATATAATTCACTGTATTTTTGCTAAATATTATTTCAAAAGACCTGCTAATTAGTCACTATAGGAATGATACAATAATATTTTGTAATTTAATATAATTTATTTCTAAAAAATTAGAGAGAATTTAGATCTATTTGGGATTTATCTTAAAAAAAGAGGTTAAAATTAATTATAATTATAGATTAGCTTTTATTCATTGTTAAAGTATTATATTTCTATAATTTCAAAGTACTTATCCTACTATCAATAATTTTATCTAAAAACTTAATTGTTAATAGTAAATTTAGATAATAACAATTAGATAAATTCTGGGAGCAAAAAATCCCATTGCTTTCACTTTATAAAGCTTCTGTTCATCAACTAAAAAATTAAATCATGATTTAAATAATTCCTCATTATCAAATTACCAATTGTCATATATTTTAGAGAATTATAAAGATTAATAAAATTTTATATAAATTAAATATTGTTTATAAAGCATTATATAGATTTATGCAAATGAAATTCTAAAAATTTTTATGATAATCAAATTTTTATGAAAGCATCAATCTTCTTAATTTCTAATCCTCTTACTAAGTCTTTCTATTCAGTTACTGTAAAGCGCTACAAACATTATGACATATCTATATAAACAACTTCTGTTTTGTTATTTAAACCTTATAATATCCTTTTAAGTTCCTCTTTGTTAAATTCACACCTTTTCAAAATCATCTTAAATTACGTTAAATTATTAAAAGGATATTGCTTAAAGCTTAATATAATATTTTCACAAGTAATATCCAGAATATTCAATGCTCTACTTCTTAAATTCTAAGAAAATTCAAAAGTCTGAATTTCTGCATTATTGAAAATAGATACCTTGAAAACTTACAATTTATCGAAATTTTCAAAGAGTTTATGACAATTTCTTAAATTAAGATTACCAGAAACTTCAAAATAAAACTACTCAAAATTGTACCTATCTAACTTTAAAAATTTTTCATCTATTATCAAGGTTTATTATTAAACTACTACAGATTTATCTTTGTATTATTGTATAATTTAAAAATATGAATAAGAAAAGGCTGTTAGAATATTATTTCTTTCTACATAGACTTCCATTTATTGAACATTACTAGATTCTACTTGGATTTATAAGAATTGTAAATTTTTTGGACAATTTTTAATAAATGCATTAATGTAAGGAATATGTTCAGGTTTTACTTCATCCAAATAATAATTCAACTTTATTTAATACAATGGACTCTCTTTTAAACATCTTATTAAATCATTTAGTTCAGCTCCCATACAAAACAATCTTTATGCTTAATCAATTTCTAAAATAGTATTTATTGAAGCTAGAACATACCTAAATTATGCTAATAACTTCTATTTTTTTAAATCTCCATAATTAGTAAAATTTAAAGTTTTCACATTAATTTTAAAAGTAAATTTTTCTTTTAAGTATTGTTATTTTACTTTTGACACAATTTAAAAAGATTTAGGATATTCCAATAGTATTTAATTTGATATTGAGCTCAAATACAACATAGATTAAAAAAATTAATCCACTGAAACTGTACTTAAAATTAAAGCTGGAATAAAATAGTCTTTAATAACAACTTCTAATAAATCTTTTACTGCAAATATACCTTCTTTTATTTGTTGACCAAAAGAAAATACCCAAATACCATCTAATTGAGTAGATGCTAAAGATAAAATATATACAAAGAACTAAGGAATTTTATTCAAAGCTTCTTCAACATTTGTTCTCCACATTACAGCCTCATAAAATGGCTAATTTTATATTTATTTAATATCATTAGGATCAGTTTAAACTGTTTCATTCTAAAATACTGAAGTAGCTATACTACCTGAAAATTTTGAGGCATAACTCTTGAACTTTAAGTATCCTTAACCACTAAAGTTTCTCTTTACATCTTCAGAGAATCTCTTTACTGCTAAAAATAAACAAATCATAACGATATCCCAAATCTTTAAAAAGTTAAATATTGCAAATAAAAGAATATAAGACAGTTATCTTAAAGGTGAAAAATTTTTAAAAACACGCTATTAAAATACTGCAAATGATAACATCTATAATATTGGATTGATTGCAGTTAAGGCTATTAATGCAGATATAAACATATTAGGTTCATTATTCAAATAAATTAAAGAAACAATTTATAAGGACCCATTCAGCACCGACCAAAAAGTTTGAATAGTTGCTTAATATTAATTCAATTTGCTCCAAACTTCATAATAATCGTACAATTTTAACAAAAATTAAATATTTCCAACTGATTATGCATATAGATCTCTTTTCGTTATACTGTCAATTTAATTTTTTGCATCAATAATTATTTATTCATTTGTTTCTATTTATACTAATAAATTTTGTTAATTATCCTCAATTCTTGATAATTAATTAACAATCAGACCACTAATTCCTCTATTGACGTTTAATGATCTTCTTAGATCGTTTGGAATCAGTGCTTAATACTCTGCAGAAAGTTAAATGTAATCGTCTTTAATAAATTAATTCTTTTGTACTGCTTACCATCCAGTGTTTATTTTAGGATTTTCAATAAATTAGATCTCATTTATTTTCTCATCTGATGCATTCGGATCAATTTTGTCAGCTTCCCATTTAGTATTAAGATTTGAAGAAGTTTATTTTTCAATTTTCAAATTGTTTATACCCTGGAAAATACGATTTATTTATGCTAAGTTATTATCATTAAAATATAAAAGATTGATTGATTCTACTTTAATCAATTAAAAACAATTAGCTAAATATTATAATGTTACTTCATGATATAAATCAATATAATGAAATTCAATATTCTTCACTTTCTTCTATTTCATCAAGAAATATAAAAAATTTAAATCATACATCTTTTCTTTTAATAAGGACTAAATGCACTAGGATCAATATGAAAATAAAATGATTTGACAAATCCCATATAATTTAAATCAGATTTAAATAATTGTTTTGTTTCTTAAATAGAATATAATTTTATTTTCTACAAATAAAATAATATTATACTGGTTATCCTTTGATATTGAAGTTATTAGCGCAATTACCTATGGGGAGCATCTTATTAAATAAACAATAATTTAATCCTTTCAAAGTAAAATAGAGAAATAAAAATGATAATAATAGAAAATTATTATACATAATACTCAAATATCAGTTTCAATTAAACAATCAAAAGAACATAATACCTATATATATCATCTCTACTTAATTATCAAATATTGTATTTCAGTGAATATAAATTAATTCTTTTTCATTTTAATTTATCATTTTCAAGATTACTTTTTAGCACTTTGGTTTAATTTTATTGTTTTAATTCAAAATTCAGTTTCATTATGATCTATAACTTTATCAAATCAAATCATTGTTGAATTAATTTACTATTTCTACGTAATAGTATTTCATTTTTATTCTATATACCCATTTTTATTAGGAAACTTAAGTGATTGGAATCAAATAATTAATCATTTTGATGAATAAAACAAATTAAAAATGACATTAGCAGACATATATGGATAGAAAACACTAATAATAAAAGGAAGGACTTATCCAATACTATGTATACTAAGATATATAAAACTTGATTAATTTATTATATTCATGAAAAGCTATCCATGAATATTTTTAGAATGATCCTAATAATCCAAGAGTTATTTGGAGTAATAACAAAGTTATTTTATAATTAAATTTATCAAAATGGCAATAATAATGTTACCAAAAAGTAGGAACAAAAAAAAAGTAAAAAGTTTGAAAACAAAAAAAGAATAATGGATGAAACTTAATAAGAATTTAATGAAATAATTTAATTACCAAAAATATTATAAATTTAAACTCTTTACTTTAATACTTGTTAATTCACTTATACATAATTATCTATCAATTGATTAGATTAGAGAAGATGGGAATATGAATAGAATTAATATGAAAAAAATAAAAGAATTTTAATCAAATCTAAGAAATTAGCTTTCTATAATAAGTTTATATATATATATATATTCAAGATATACTATGATGATTAATATATATAAATGTATATTGTATTGATAATCAAATATATAATTAATATATTTTAAATTAATACAATTTTTTGTTCCAAATGACTAAATATTTAAAATCATTTGTAACTACGCCTCTGTATTAACCAGTTGGTTAGTTCTAAAAACTTGATGCTATCTGAAATGATCCATCTTATAATTATTTTATTAAATTAATGTTTTAACCATGATGACAAATAATTTAGTTAAATTATAAATTATAAATAAATGGAATTTTAACATCTTACTTTATTTCATTTATTATGCTGCTTTTAAATGTTTAGATAAATACTTGATTTACTTCCTCAAATACAAGAATTTTTTGTTCTTTAAATTAAGTCCAAATAAACTAATTATCTTTAATAAAAACTATTTTATTCCCATATTATTTAACTGAATGATTAACAATGTTTTTGAATTCCCAATCATCATAGTTATTTTTTTTCCAAACAATAATTTAAGCATCTTTACTACAAGATAATAATGTAGTTTCAGATTAATTCAAACAAATTGAAGTAACATTATCTTAATGTTTTGTTAAGGATTATTTTAATAGTAAACTTTTCTATTTAAAACTTAATTAATGTACGATAATTGTTTAATCATCACTACTTGATATCAATTAGTCTTATTTTTTGTTTATAATTAAACATCTTACAGTTTCCATGTGTTAATTTTCATAAATTGTACTTGTATAATTTATTTAATTCAGATAATTCCATATTTAAAGACTTCCATCACTATGCCCAGAAATAAAATCATTTGATTGTTAACCAAATAATAACACACTAACACTTCTTTAACAAGGCATTCTCCTTAATGTTTCTATTTTACCTTCTAAGAATAAATAAACTGTAATCATATCTTCTCCTCCTGTTAACAGTAAAAATCCATTTCTATTAAATGCCATTGAATATATTTCTTATATATCTGCTTAATAGGGTCTTAAAATTGATTAACCTGTTAAACTTTCAAGCTGTTATAATTAACTTTAATTTTTATTTATTTATTCTCTTTCTACTTTTATAAAAACCTTATTTTTTTTTTGTTCATCCCCATCTTCTTATCTAGAATCAATTAGAATTTATCTAACATCTTAAACCATGGCTTATCCTTATTTATATAGAAGTAATCGAAATTAGGGGATTGTTTGAAGTTCACATTTTTGCTATTCTTAAGAACACATTTCAGCCATTTCCTAAAACTTAACTATGCTAAAATCATTAGATTATAAATATATTTGTTAAAAACAATTTGATCCATCTACAATTTTTAGATATACAGAATCAATCATATTAGTTAAATTCTTGTATTAAGCATTTCTTAACTATTCCAATTTTGAAAGACTGTTTTTATAACATTCTTTCATATATATCTAAGCATTTTATTATTATTCTAATTTCTAATATTACTTTTGATCCAAAATTTTAATGAATTATTCTATATCTAATCCACTTTATTAGCACTCTTAACATGAAATTCTTTTACTTTTTGGAACATTCTTTTCGATATTAATAGTTTCTACAATCTTATTATGTTCAGGACAATAAATTAGCTTAAATTTTTACTTAATTTAATATATATGTATATATACTTCTAATTATTTTTTTTTTATAAATGAGTTATCAATGTAAACATTCCAACATTTTTCTTAACTTAATTTAGCTATTTCAATCACTTTATCAGCTAATTTAAAGTTCATTAATTAATCTGCATATTATTTTAATCGTTTATCAATTTTATGATAATAAGTATACCCTAATTATTAAATTTCATAAGTTATTTTTAATTCACTATCTTTTAACCAATCTTCATCATTCCTTTTTATATTGTCAAATATATTCAGAAAGTCTTTTTCATTTTTATTAATCCATGTCACTGATATTAGGCTTTCCTACCATTTCTAAATATCTTTGATAATTTAATTTAATAGATTATTCAAATTACTTTTTTATTCATCAATATACTATTCAATAGATTAGAATTTTCTTTAAATTTCATTTAAATATGGATTCAAAATTCTTTCTATCTTTTTAGTATAACTGTTAATAACAATTCTTGCTTCTTCCATCTAAATGAAATCTTTAGAACTCCTTTACTCTTCTATAAGACAACTTTTACAAACCAGTCTTTCCTCCATATTTTTTTGAGAATCCATTAGCAAGTAATTTTTTGGAAAACCATGAAAACATTCAGCTTGATTTATTTAAATCATAAAAAATATTAAATATTCAATGATTTTATCTATTGATTTAAATATATTATTTAATTAAAATTGAAAAAAATAAATAAACTACATAAGTTTCAGAAACCATATTAGCTGTTCAAGAAGAAGATAATGAGTTATAATAGTTTAATATTTATTGGCATTATTTATTAATTTTTAATCCTTTCATCAATAGAATAAATCAGTATTTTCATTGAAATATGCTATGTTTATAGTTTGTTTAAATACTTAGTTATGATAAATTTAAAATAAAAAACTTCACTCTATAAAATCTATCTTATTCTTATCAAATTTTGTTTTCAATTAACTTTTTGCCCACTTTCCAGAATTATTTGTCTTAAAAAAGGAATATTGAATTATCAAATTTATAAGAACGAAAAGTTTGTCAAAATTTATAAAAGAACCATTTCCATATAAATAAATATTTACCTCCTTCTTTTCTTAATTATTTCAACAAAGTTAGATTTGAATCTGAAACTCATTTCAAAGTTTTATATAAAACTAATCTACCTTTTAATTAGGTAGAATATTATATTTCAAAATCTATTTTATTGTAAGGGCTTTGAATATTGCCTGTTACAATAATTGGATTAAGGAATTAAGTTGTTAATCAAAGTTTTGGATCCATAACTGCATAGATGTAAGTTATTAGATAATGTCTTTTAGAATGAGGACTAAGAAAATAGTAGATAAATTTCATTTTTATAAATTATATTCCAACCTAAAATAACCATATAAATAAACCTTCTAAAAGTTTATTTAAATTAATCTAGACATTTTGCTAATAATAAACTCTTCCAAGATTTCATCCTATAATTTGAGATTCTTAAAATGAGTAAATATTTGATTATTTGATAATGAATCTTATTGATAACATAAACCTAATTAATGACTATAACTATTACTAAAAGGAGTATATTTGTGAAAAACTTTCAAATCTATTAAAATAATGTATTAATTGGTATTACTTAATAATTAAAATTTAATTTAGTCTGGCCTTTGGTCAATTATCTTTAAGTAATAAAGCATATTATGAAAATACATCAACCATATACATATATTTAAATATTTCTTTTCTAAAGGTTTGATGCCATACAACACCTAATAGAAAATTAACACTTTATGATTAATTGTTATGATAAAATAACAAATTTATTTTGAGAATCTAATAAAACCTTATTTAGTTTACATTTATATTAATCTTTATAAATAAATTACTTTAAATTTGATACCTATCAGCATGAATAGTAATTGATTATCAATTAAAATTAAAAATAATAGTAAAAACATAAATATATCAAATTTTGTTAGATAATTAATAATTACATAAATTAATTTAATTTAATTAAATAAACTAGAATACTATGAATTTTATTAACTAAAGTAGTCAGAGTAAATCACTATATTGAAAATAAAAAGATTATCAATTTTTAATTGTATTATATATATATATCTTTTATAAATTTATCCTCATTTATCTTACATTTTCAATAATTTTTAACATTCAGCTTCTATTAATTTTATTTAAATACCTTTCTTATTTTATATAGTTATATCTTCTGAATAAATTTGTAAAGCTTAATCATAACATATTAATGCTTATTGGTATTTTTATTAATTTTGTAAGCACTCTCCTTATTTTTTACATAGAAATATACCTTTTATATAGTAAATCATTTCATCATTGTTTTCATATTTTAGTGCCTTATCACAAAATGAGATTGCCTCATCATATTATTTTAAATTCATTAATGATTAGCCCTAAAAAGAAGTAATTCAACCAACCTTTAACTTTAAAAAGTTTGCATCTTCAGGGTTAATGGATAAAATTTTATTGATCATAGTTATTGCTTCATGATTTTAACCTATTAAAATTAAACTCCTCACTAAATTATAATTTATAAAGAAACCTTTTGTATCATAAAAGTTCTAATGATTAGGATCTATCTATAATCCTATATCTGCCCATTTAATTGCTTAAGTGTATTTTAGTTGACAATATAATGATCGTGCTAAAATTAACTTAATTTTACCTTTAACATATATTGTATTTAAATGTTTTGGATCTAACGCTAATGCCTTGTCAGCCCAGATAATTGCTTCATTAAATTTACTAAGCATTCTTAAACAATAAGCTACAATTTATAATAATATCATACCTTTACAAGATAATGCAAGCAAATGATTTGGATTTAAAGCTATTGATTAATCTAAGAATTTGAGTGCTTCCTCATACTTATTAGAGCTTCGTAGAGTATAACCTCAAATTTATTAATTGAAATACCTTATTTATATAATTATTCTGCTTCTTAAAGCTCTTTTTTATCTAATTCTAAATAGTTTAATTCATTTAATCTTAACTCATTATAATTCCTTTTTAATTCATTTATGAATTCATTAGTAAATTTTTCTAAATTTTATGTTATTAAGCTTGTTGATTCTTAAAATTTCAGCATTTCATCGAAAGCAACATTGATTTATATATTCTTTAACTTATTTAATTTATGAATTGGGATTTGATATTTATTTAATAAACCTTATTTCAATATATTAAGTTCAACTTCTATCAGCTAAACATATGAACTTAACTTATCAACTAGTTCATCACATTTAGTTTGAATCTCTTAAATATATTTTACCATATCTTCAATCTCATATTAATCTTCAGGATGTGAAGAGTGTTCTTCATTTTTAATGCATTACACACATTATAATCTTCCTATTTTGCAAGAAAGATTAAAGCAAACCTATTAAACGCAGTTTTTGTGATCTAGATTCGAACAATAAATCAATATCTAATTAGATGAAATCATGCTTAAATAAAATAATATAAATTAATTAGATGAATTTGATCAATTTTTAATTATTTAAAAATTAGAATAATAAGAATCTAATATTTTAAATAAATAAATAAAAATAGTATCTCTTGGATATATTTTAACTTGTTATA